TTTACTCCAGTGAATGTTTCTCAGGGTTGGTTATTTCTGTATAGAGACACACCTTAAAAGGCGAGTAGAGGTATAAACTACCATTCAAAAGTTTGGGGTCAGTAATTTGAATGTTTTTAAAGAGGTCTCTTATGCTCACCATGGTGTTTATTTGACCAAAAATACAATAAAAACTGTAATACTGTAAAATATTATTACAATTAAAGGAGTAGTTCACTTTTTCTGATAGTTTACTCACCCCCATGTCATCCAAGATGTCCATGTCTTTCTTTCTTCAGTCGAAAAGAAATTAAGGTTTTTGATGAAAACATTCCAGGATTTTCTCCATATAATGGACTTCATTGGGAACCAAATGGTTCAAGGTCTAAATGAGAGTTTCAGTGCAGCTTTAAACGACACCAGACGATGAATAAGGGTCTTATTTAGCGAAACGATTGGCCATTTAAAAAATAAATAAAAAAGTTTAAGTTTTATAAGCCTTGCTCTGTTCTGTGATGCGCGTCGGTGACTCTCCTGTTCGAACTCGCTCATCAAAATGAACAAATCTTTTTTCGAGTCATGACTCGAAGGGTCTTAGATAACTTATTCATCGTCTGGTGTCGTTTAAAGCCCTTTGAAGCTGCACTGAAACTCTCATTTGGACCTTGAACCGTTTGGACCCCATTGAAGGCCATTATATGGAGAGAAAATTCTGGAATTTCTTTTCGCCTGAAGAAAGAAAGACTTGGACATCTTGGATGACATGGGGGTGAGTAAATTATCAGCAAAAGTATTTTTTAAAGTGAACTACTCCTTTAAAAAGAATGTTTTATGTTCTAATACATTTTACAATGTAATTGAATCCTGCGTTGGCAAAGCTAAATGTTATGAATGTTCAGTGTCACTTCCAGTATGCTGATTTGGTGATCCAAAAATATTTCGTATTATCAATTTTGAAAACGGTTGTGCTGCTTAATATTTTTGTGGAAACTGCAATACATTTTATTGCAAGATTCTATGATGAACAGAGCATTTACTTTAAATATATATCTTTTGCTGTCAGTTTATTGCATTCTTTCTGAATAAACTTTTCCTAATTTCCCCCAAAATCTTTGGCATGTCAACTTATTCAGGTCTTCCCTTTATGTGGCCATTTGTAAGCGTTTATTTGAAGGGTATGATGTCTGGGGCTGTTTGTGGGACTTTGTGTTTAAGTCCTGCAGCATGACGACGCCAGATGCCCCGGCCGTCAGATTTAGCTGGTGGCGGAGTAAGAGAAGAGCAGATAATTCACGCTGAGCCGCGACGGTATCCGCAAAGTCACGCATGCCACTTCTGCCTGCTTCCAGGCAGCCTTACAGTCTCTTAACCTCATGTCTGCTTCAGAGCTCTGAGAGTTTAAAAATTGACATTGGTTCCTGCTGGATTTCAGGGGTAGACGTGGACCCGTGCCGAGTTAGAGAGAGAGAAACAGAGACAAGTTTAATTGCTCCATCTGCAAGAGGGCTGCAGAACTTGGCCCAGCCTGGGCCGATCCAGATGTTTTCCGGCAAGAAACATCTGAAAATGTTTAATTTCTTTCCCATAGGAGTGAAAAGTCTGTTACATGTTGGATATTTACAGTGGCAACTGCCCTGTTCCATCCATCAAGGCCAGCCGTCTCAGGGCTGCAGATTTACAGCTTTTATTTGATGTTCCGCTGCTGGAAGACCAAACACACAACACTTGTGAACATGTAAACAGCACAGGAGTTCAACGTTTTCTTAATGGATAAAAGCAATACTGTTGATTCAGACCACATTGTTTTTGGGTGTGGGGTACTGTCGTTTTGGTGAGGTTCAGAAAGACTTTTGAAGAACCTTGGAGGATTTGATGCTGCGTCCACGTCACGGCAAAATGACCATAATTACAAGTTCCTGACTTGTAAAAACTGCTTGCGTCTTAGTCAAACTTTTAATTACAGCTCGGAATTCTTCTGAATTTTATGAACATTCTTACATGACCATTGTGACAATGTAAAAAAGAACAATGAATTTGAAGTTCTGAGTCCAAGAATGGTGAAAAAAACTCATTTTAGTTATTTTTTAATTTGTCTATTATATCTAGTTTCAGACTTGTATTATTACTATTAGTAGTGTCTAATAATATGTTATCTTTTAATACACCATCCATTTTAGTTAAATCAAAGCTGATTTATTATTTTTTGGTTCTACACTCTTAGAAAAAAGGGTTCATTGGGGTTCTATATATGAAGCATAGGGTTCTTTACTCAACTCCAAAGAACCTTTTTTTGCTAAAAAAGGTTCTATAATGATAAGAAAGATATGAATTATTCATTCATATATATAATTATTCTGCAACATTTTGTAGTTGTAATTAAATTATTGTTTATTAAACTGTTGTCGTACCTTAATATCACATTTTAATCATGCTGATTTTTGGAGAAGAAAAACTGAAATGGCACTCTTCGTGTGATATTGATTAATAAAATGATATATATATACATTTTCTAACCCCCATATCTTGAATTTTGTGATCATTCACATGCATTCATAAATACATTTTAGGGTCTTGATGTTTGTCAATAATATGAAATATTTAATCCGGAAAGGACAAAACAAATGATAATGAATGAACCCAAAAGGTTCCATATAGAACCTTATTTCTGGTTACAAAGAATTCTTATTATTGAACCCTTAAAAAGGCTTCTTAGGGGTTCCAAATACGTAGCGCTGATAGAACTTTTTAAGGTTCTATATAGAACCTTTTCTTTTAAGAGTGTAGAATCTTAAGAAACCTCTTTTGAGTTCTGGAATACTGAAAAACCCAACTCTGTGTGGAATTTTCCAGGACTTAACTTCCAGCTGTTGGAATGTAGAACTCGGGTTAAGCTAGGTGAAGATTTGGTTCAGTTTTTAGCAGCTCCTAAATTACTGTATACAGGCCATACTGATTTGGGTCCCTGTTTCCTGTCAGGTTTGACCCAGTTTGCTAGATTTGGCCCAGTTGGGCCCGGCTGCATGCTGGTTCGTACAGCAGGCTGTCATCATTTAGAGTTGCACGGTGGGAAAGTGCTGCCATGGCATTTTGTAATTTCTATAAGCGGTTCACCACACCCTACTGAAGACAATCACTCTAAATGTGTCGATCCAAGATGTTTGTCCTGCCTTTGGTTGTCACATTTTCAAGAGTTCAGTTCACAGCAACTTGAGAATTGTTGCATTTGGTGGAAACTGGAAAGGCGCTAGCAAGATGCAGTGTTGGTTCCAACTCAAAAGGTTGGCACCCTAATTATGTTGCCTTCTAAGATTTTAGTCAAGCATTGTATGCATTGTGGAGGAAGCAATCCCAGAATGCATTGCGACAAGCTTCAAAATTAATCCGGTGAGAGAATTTTGTACTATATAGTTAAATGTAAATTCAATCAACTTGTTAACATAAAATGTATAGAAATCAATTGCAAAATAATGACAAGATGGTATCAACAGGGTATTTTTGGTCAAAGCACAACAGAAGGCAGTTGGATGATCTATTATAATCTGGCCAGAATCGGCACAGCTGTGTGTGTATTCAGATTAAGAGAGATCAGTGTCTTTATTAGAGCTGTATAAACTGAAGAGCCTATATTACTACCTTACCCCTCTCACGCTCTCGCTCTCTTTCCCCGTTGTGTGTTATGGCACTGGGTTTGTTCCAGCTGTCATACATCGCCACTGAAGGGTCAATAAGGTCACCTGTGCCAGCGAGACCCTGGAAGACAGAGGCTTACTGCTTAGTGCAATGATTCCTTTTTTTAATTCTATAGTCATTGACTGTGATATTCTCATGCTGTGACGGTGCATGTACATATGTATCTGGATTAGGAGTACTAAAGATGTACCAATAAATATTTCTTATAATGCACTTTATCGGTCTACCTTCATTTAGAATTAAATTTAATAAAAATTTTTTTTTAATTATCAGTATAAATTATATATTTTTTTAAATTGTTAATATATGAAGAGTTCAGATGCAAAAGCCTTTGAAATTTTCTTCTAAAATGACCATTTTTATCAAGCTTGTATATTTAAGTTCAGTAATTTCACTTAAATGACAATTAATAGGTAATTATCATTGCCATTTAAGTGAAATCACTGAACTTAAATATACAAGCTTGATAAAAATGATCATTTTAGAAGAAAATTTCAAATGGCACTTAGAGGCTTTTGCATCTGAACTCTTCATGTATAATTTTTTATTACAATGATTATTTTTTAATAATCAACTTCAGGATTTATTTATGATAATTAGTAAGGTGGAGTTTAACAAAAGTATTTATTTATTTTTACTCATTATCAGTGAATATTTTTGTTAATCATTCTGCATATTGACATCTGTCATGACGGTGATCATGCATCCTTGTGCAAATTGACAATTAGATTGTGTTAGGGGTGGTCCCTCAGTGACTGTGGCCACCATTCTGAAAATCATCTATCTTCAGGAAATGATGAAGGCCTCTTCTTGCAGTGGGAGCCGTAACCCAGATACAGTATGTAATTTGCCCATACGTACGTGTCTGCGGCGCTCTATATTAAGGCCAAAAGTTCTTCTCATTATCAGAGTCCCTCATTACCTGTTTCTGTCATCTCATGCTCACAGGGATTTGGATTTATACCTGATAATTACCTTCTATATAAAGCCAACCAGAAACGGCCCGAGCGTATACACCTGAAGCGTGCCCCCAAAATGCCTCGACCCAGCGCTTGGAAAAATATCGCATGTGTCAAATAATGAATGATTTACCATCACGGGTCACGGTTATGTACACTTAGCCATTTTATCTAGGTCGAATTGATGGTAAGTGATGCACATAATGTGCGCATGTTCAAAATCCCCTTTTTTTTAGGCTGTTTTGCATATGGCCATCTTTAATGGACTCATCATCATTGCTAATGTATGTAAATATCAACCTGGTTGCTAATGCAGCTACCCGATTCAGTTATTGTTTTTTTTTTTCTTTTTTCTTCCCCTCATTGTTTCAGATCGACGCCTTGAGTAAAAGAAGTAAAGAATCAGAGGCTGCTTTCCTCAGCGTGTACAAGAGATTAATCGATGTCCCAGGTATGTCTCAGCTCGCTCACACACACACACAAATGCACTCACACACACACTGCTGCAGTGTTTCACCGAGGCGAGAATCCTGCAAACACATCAGTCATATTTATGAGACCTCCGTCTCTAGTGTCTAAAACACACACATGCGCGCGCGGGCCATCTTAATGACTTCTACGGCTTTAGAGACCTGCTCCTTTCCAAACTCCACGCACACGGAGAAACTTGGATTCTAATAAAATCCGCGTTCATTGCCCCACAAACACCTTTTAATCTTCCGAATTGGCTTTCTAACGGTGAGATAATGGCCCCCTGATCCTCAGTTTTTATATGGTAATGTTCTGTTGCGCTGATCTATAATAAGTTAATGGTGCCGCAAAGGTTCATGTGACATCTCGAAGCGTCTTTTGCTCGGCTGCTCAGTAGAGTTTTGCAAGTTCACCAAGGGAGAGTGTGGATAATGAATCAAACCCTGCTTAGGTAAAAGTGCGACCGTGGAGTGTATAGATAAATCCGGCTTCTGGTTGAACTGAACTTTTGGGAAACCTTCAGACACCCTAACAGTTACACACACACACATCTAGCTGTTTAGCCCCGCCCACATCTGTTGAGTGACAGGGAGGCAGGCAGACAGACAGACAGTGCCGCCTGGGCCTGTTGGAGCAGGTCGGACTGTCTGCCTGCACAACTACTTAGTATATCTCTAAATTACCACAATGCTGCGGTCTGGAGATCCCGGGCCAACTCAACGGCATGTCTGTGTGTGCTTGTGTATTCGACTACCTTTATTTGTGTGTATAATGTGTTTTTTCGAGTATACTGTGTGTGTGTGTGTGTGTGTCTGTGTGTGTGTCTTGCAGGATGTTGGAGTGGGAGGTCTAGTCTGGGAATGTCTGTTTCTATCTGTGAAATCTGGAACTTGTCCAGTCCTGTCTATTTGTCTGTGAATGTGATCACAGCTTGACAAATTATCTTGTGATAGTTACACTGGTACACTGTGTAGGCGTGCATGTGTGTGAGCATTGTGGCGTGTGTTAGCGGGAATGTTCGGAAGTGTTTCAGATAGTGTTTTATGTATGCAAAATTTAGCTTACATTTAGCAAGACAGATTTGAAACAGATTTACTATTTGAAATAATATACATATACAATATATATATATATATATATATATATATATATATATATACATATATATACATATGAAGAGTTCAGATGCAAAAGCCTCTAAGTGCCATTTGAAATTTTCTTCTAGAATGATAATTTTTATCAAGCTTGTATATTTAAGTTTAGTTATTTCACTTAAATGGCAATGATAATTACCTATTAATTGTTATTTAAGTGAAATTACTGAACTTAAATATACAAGTTTGATAAAAAATCATTATTAAAGAAGAAAATTTCAAATGGCATTTAGAGGCTTTTGCATCTGAACTCTTCATATACATATATATGTATATATACATATATGTATATATATATATATATATATATGTATGCGTGTATTTTTTTTTGTATATGTATATTATTTCAAAGCCCATGTAATAACAGAGACACAACTCAACAGTAAAGATTTTCTTTTTTTACTTTGCTCAGTCTGGCAATTTTTGCCCCGCAAATAGTTTCACTAGCCCCGACAAAACATTTTCCCCCTACATTTTTATTAATTTCGAATTTTACTTCAAACTTATTTAAATTTTTTATGTGTGTTGTTGTTGCTGTTAACTAAAACTATTGAAATCATTTTCATTAATTTAAATAAAGTAAATATATCTAAAATGAAAATAGAAATTGAAAGCTAAATAGAAATATTGAGAAAAAAAATTCAAATGCCAAAAAGCACAAAGCTGAACTAAAATTCAAATGAAAATATGAAATAAAAGCGAATTCATAATATTAAGAAATACTAGTATATTAATAAAAAAAAAATACATTTTTGTTTTATTTGCGTTCACACTGAGTTTCCTGAATAATACGGTATACTGTGATGGTTGTTTACTACCAAAGACAGGAAATTGTACATCCATGTTTCCCATGCCAAAATGCCACTATGATTGTCACCAAGTCAGCCATTGTGAATTCAGGAGTGACTCCTGTATTCTGTTCACACTGTAATAATTATTTCAGAGATTCACTTCTGCAATTGATCAGTTGCTGGTTTAGGGTGATTTTATTATTATTTTTTTTATGTTGGTTTTTGCTTTTAGAGACTGAATGTGTGTCATAGATGCTTTACATCTCCTAAATTTTAAAACATCTAAACATTCCCACTTGTCCTATTTAGGTCCTTTTGGTCAGGCCGTCCAGCACAGCACTTCAGTTTAGCTTTAGACCTCAACCTAACCGAACGGATTGTGCTTGTGGTGTTGTGTTGGACAGCAAATGACACGCATCTGAATTGATGTGCCTGTGTAAATCAGATTTGAATTGGCTGGTCATTTGAGTCACATGACAGTCACGTTCAGAATTGAGCGACACGCGTGGTCGCCCATCAAGCTGAGTTGAACCGAAACGGCAGTTGCCACGGCTACAAAAGGGAACACACTATGACAGCATATCATTCAGACTTCCTCTTGCAGTTTTTAGATATGACACACTCTCACACACCACACATGCACATCACACATAACACACCCCATCAGCGTTTCCTGTACCTTCAGAGAGCGAGGGCGAGGGATGTGTGTCGAAAACCACAATCTCGACTGTAACTTCATGTAGGACTTGTACAGGAATGACATGTTTTATTTTACACTCATGTCTGTCAGCTTTTTGTTCTCCGATTTTACTCTCACACTCGCTCTCTCTCTCACACTCTCATGTTCCGCAGGGGCTAATAAAATAGTTTGATTACATAATTAACTTGGCTGTCTCATTAAGGAAAATCAACGGGAACAGGGCCATAATTAGTCATATAGCAATTAGCATTTGAGGGGGACAGACAGTGATGAAAAAGCATGTGTGTGTGTGTGTCAGAATGTCTTAGTCCTTCAGTGCGGAGGGCTGGCCCGGTCCCACACCACCGCTGCGCTCGACCCCGCTTTCACTTAACATCGCCTCCCATTTATGAAAGCAACAAATTAACACCCTGCCAAATATGAATTACCATAACTTCTTTTACAACCTGCTAATCGGAAATTCCAGCAGCTGGTGGTGTATTTTGGTCGCTTTTTCTGACATAAATGATGAAACTATGATTGTTAGCGGGCTTTGATCGAATGCACTAATTTGTCAGCATAATTGTTTCCTTTTTTAGAATTATTTAATTAGAATTTTTTTTTGTATTTTAACTGCAAAATATTTTATTTATTTATTTTTTCATAATATTTTTTATTACTTCTATTTTTGTAGATCATAAAAATATATATAAAAAAAACCTTTGTATTTTGTTTAATTTGACTGAGAATGCAAGTGCCCTTAGTTTACTCTGATGGTTCCACACATTTGAGATTATTCATTATTTTTCAGTTTTAATTGAATTTTCAGTATAATTGATTTAAAATATGATTTATATTTTTTCTCAATTTAAAAAAAAATCAGATTAACCCTAAAACCGTATTCTGGACAAATGTGGGCAAAATAGTTTTGATTTATTTAAAAAAAAATAAAAAATACTTCCCTTGATCTGAGCGGTACAAGACTTGGCTACTTTTCCTAAGTTTGCCTCCTGAACACACACATTTTTTTTGACTCAATTCTACAATGGTAAGTGGGTGAAAAAAACCCTCCTTAATCTTGTATTTGGGTCAAAAATGGGCACCCATAGAAATGAATGGGGAAAACTGTAATTTAGAGCATTCTAAAATAAGCCAAAATAAGACACCGGGCGACAGCAAAGTCACTTCATCTTTAGGTTTTAGCTCTAAGAACTTATTGGAATGATATTTTAATGTAGTTAAAATAATAAAAATAAAAATAAGCATAATTTACATAGAAAATATAGTACTTTTTGAAGTAAATAAATTCAAAAATCCCCCCCCCCAAAAAAAAAAAAAAATTAAACAGTGGAAGACAGTGTATAACATTTATAATAAATAAAAATTAGGATCACACCTGAGTCCTCTCTACAATATAAAGTGAATACAGTTTGAGGGCTATGTTGTTTTTTGTGAACATGGAGTAAATATTGTGTTTTAGTGCATCCTTGTTTTTAATCACTGTTGTTAATGTTCTAGCACAAATTAGAATTACCATGGTACGTATCCAGAAAACACGGTTACACTGTACTTGCATAGTGTCTGTCCAAAATCAGTGAAAATACCATGGTTATTTTTTGGTGCCTTTTTGTTATTGTGATTTAACAGAGCAGAATTTAAACCGAGGAGCTGGAGCGCAGTGTGGATTTATTGGCGTGTTTTGGCTTGGTTTGTTTTTCTAGTTAACATTTTTAGCTGTGGTTGGCAGTCCGCAAAAATGCAAAAACACTTTTAGGTATTTAATGAAACTGCACACTGCACATAGACAAACCAACACTGACTCTCACTCACTGAATCAAACCTTTGACCTGCTCTGAACGCGGTACACACGATATTCTGAACTGTATGTGTGGATGTGTGTTTCAGATCCTGTCTCGGCTTTGGAGGCAACTCAGCAACTCCAGGTGACTGTTCGGAAGATGCACGACTTGGAGACAGAAAACCAGAGGCTCAAAGATACACTACAAGAGTACGAACGTGAAATCGCAGAGGTTAAAAACCAAGGTAACCAGCCCAGTTTTCAGTGCTGCTTGAAATTAACAAAACTAAATATCTAACTTTCTTCGCATATAAAAGAAATGAGTAACACTTTAGATCCAATTCTCACTATTAAAGGAGTAGTTAACTTTTAAAAAAAACTTTTGCTGATGATTTACTCACCCCCATGTCATCCATGATGTCCACGTCTTTCTTTCTTTCTTCAGTCGAAAAGAAATTAAGGTTTATGATGAAAACATTCCAGGTTTTTCTCCATATAATGGACTTCAATGGGAACCAAACGGTTCAAGGTCAAAATGAGAGTTTCAGTGCAGCTTCAACAGGCTTTAAACGACACCAGACGATGAATAAGGGTCTTATCAAGCGAAACGATCGGTCATTTCAAAAATAAATTAAAAAGTACAAACGCTCGCCTTGCACTGTTTTGTGATGCGCGTTCGTGACTCTCCTGTTCGAACTTGTTCATCAAAATGAACAAATCTTTTTTCGAGTCATGACTCGAAGGGTCCTAGTCTAGATAAGACCCTTATTCATCGTCTGGTGTCGTTTAAAGCCCGTTGAAGCTGCACTGAACTCTCATTTGGACCTTGAACCGTTTGGACCCCATTGAAGTCCATTATATGGAGAAAATCCTGGAATGTTTTCATCAAAAACCTTAATTTCTTTTCGACTGAAGAAAGAAAGACGTGGACATCTTAGATGACATGGGGGTGAGTAAATTATCAGCAAGCGTTTTTTTAAAAGTGAAATACTCCTTTAACTAGAAGCTTATTAGCATTCATATTATTAGGACGTTGGCTTTTTTAATGTTGTTTTAAGCATATATGAATGCCGTATTCTACAAGCTACCCTTGATCCTACCCAATACCTAAACTTAACTACCTCACTAACTAGTATTAATCAGAAAATTAGGAGTTTATTGAGGCAGAAGTCTTAGTTAGTAGTTAGTTAATAGTGAGAGTTGGACCCTAAACTAAAGTTGGACCAAGAAAGGTTAACAAATGTTAATCCAAATAAAAAATGTAAAAAAATATCGGGTGGATGGGAAAAAAAAAATGCAAATTTTTTATTTACACGCATACACACATATTCATTAAACATTCGTTCATAGCCTACTTTTCCCAATACGGTCCTTATGGATAACATCAAGTAATATTATTCTACGCAAAATTGTCACAACATGTAAGTTAAACGCTTTTTGTAAGCATTCTCATTTTATCTGTATCTAGTCAAGTTGGCAGGCCGAATAAGTGTACCCACATAGACTGGCCCTATTTTTGTTCGAATGAGCTGTAGTCATCTGAGCTCTATTTCTGTCCCTCTGCTGTTTCAGCCAGACATTTTTCTTTTTTTAACATAAACAACGGGGAAATATCACTCCCTCACGGTCTGGAATTCCCCTAATCGATGCAGTCCAATAACCGCAATATTTTATTTGTCCTGCACCAGCCGTACGAACGACCACCACGCGCGACCTCTCACGCAGACACGCGTATACGTATACATTCTACACACTGATCTTTCTCAGGTCAGTGATCCTCCAGTCTCCCAGTGTTTAAAGTCCAGTTTAGCATTTAAGGGTCTAAAAGGGCTCTTGTGGGACTGCTGCTCATTGATTATGTGTCAGCGCTGAAGTGCTGGAGTTTAAATCACTGCAGATGGCTGTGCAGGAGACGGAGAGAGGAGGAAAAAGCTCTCTATCAGGGATATTTTTGTGTGGATGTGTGTGTGTAGGCATGCAAACGCACATTTTTCTATCATGGTGGGGACTTTCCCTTGACTTCTGTTTTTTTTATACTGAGCTAATGAAATTTTCTATCCTCGTACCCTACACCTAATCATAAAAACAAGTTTCTCAGAAACAGTTTAACATTTTCTTTAAATAAACGTTTCACTCTAAAATAAAATTAGCCATTATTTACTTTATTTGATCCTCATGCCATTTCAAACTTATCTTTCTTCCTTCTGTTGGCAAAGCAAGCAATGTGCTGGTCACTCTATTCAATGCAATTACAATGATTAGGTTTTGAGCTTCCAGGCTTCACATATGATGCAGAGGCACTATAAAAGTATGATAAGAGTGGTTCATATGGATTTCCAGTCTTCTAAAGTCACACTAAGAAACAGACTGAAATATAAGACATTATTCACTGATAATCTTCCCTCAAGTGGGCTGTTACAGTACCCTGAAAACTGTTCAGACTGGATCATTGAGTCTGATTTTCAATGAGAAATGTCTTGCATTTCGGTTTGTTTTCCCACAAAGCTGTCATACGGCTTCTGAAGACTTGGATTATAGTCGTATGAACTACTTTTATGATACTTTTATAGTTTTATGATGCTTTTGTGTCCTTTTGAAAGGGCCCCATGCATTGTACACATTGCATTGTCACAGTCTTCATTGCTCCTTTTGTCTTTCCATGATAGAAAAAGTTTCAAGATTTTTCATTTTGGGTGAATTGTTCCTTAAAGATATGATTTAATATGTTTATTAGGTGTTTTTCCTCTTGGCTGAGAAAAAGCTAAACCAGAAGCATCCATAGTCCTCCACTGTTTGTCTTTTTAATGCCTTCTCTTTCTCTCTTACAGAAGTCACTATTAAAGCACTTAAAGAGAAGCTGGAGCAGTATGAGCGTTCTCTGCAGGACAAGAACACAGAGGAAGCTCTCGATGAAAACCAGGACCGATCAGGAAGAGAAAGCAGAGAAAACCTTCCTAACAACTATGCAGACCAGGAGAGGTTAGCCCTGACCATTGCACAAATCCAATACTACTTTAATCATAATGTTTATGTTGTGAATTCATAGGCTGTGTCTCAAAACCAAGTGACCAAGTGAGCTGCCTGCCTAGACAGCAATGTGGAGCATCAAGCTGAATCAGCAAAGAAATCATAACAACATTATGAATGCATAGCTAGAAAAACAACATTTTCAGCTTTTTTAGGCATCATAGGTCACTATGACCAACACTAAATTTAGGTAACATTTTTGTGAATCATAGGTGCCTTTGTAACTTAATTCTGAATTCAAGGCAACATTTTTCCACCGTGATAGTTGCGCTGAATGTGTCTGGATCAAAACTAAAAGCATCCAAAAATTTTTTTTGATACTTAAAAAAAAAGTAAAACAACATACACAACCTAATAAAAAAGAAAAATATAAAAACGAATATTTTGAACTAATTCAAAATATTAATACAAACTTGAATAGTATCTCAATGATGCTGAAATAACATTAATCTGGATGGGTAGCTCACTAGTAAACTCGCTTTAAAAATATAGCTATGCATTGGAAATATTAAGTCATTAAAGGGTTAGTTCACCCAAAAATGGAAATTCTCTCAATAATTAATCACCCTCATGTCGTTCCAAACCTGTAGGAGCTTCGCTCGTCTTCAGAACACGAATTAAGACATTTTTGATGATATCCGAGAGCTGTCTGAACCATCCACAGACTGCAACGTAATTACTACCCACAAGCCCCAGAAAGACTGTAAAGACATTGTTAAAATAAGTAGTAGTAAGGAGTAGTTCACTTTTGAAAAAACTTTTGCTGATAATTTACTCACTCTCATGTCATCCAAGATGTCCATGTCTTTCTTTCTTCAGTCGAAAAGAAATTAAGGTTTTTGATGAAAACATTCCACGATTTTCTCCATATAATGGACTTCAATGGGAACCAAACAGTCCAAAAGACACTTTCAGTGCAAACTGCAAACTGTTCAAAGGGCTTTAAACGATTCCAGACGATGAATAAGGGTCTTATCAAGCGAAACGATTGCTCATTTATAAATCATATATAAATAACAAAGTTTAAGTTTTATAAGCTCAAATGCTCTTGCTCTGTTCTGCGATGCGCGTTCGTGACTCTCCTGTTCGAACTCGTTCATCAAAATGAACAAATCTTTTTCCAAGTCATTTGGTTCATTCAACGAACGAAACTGACTCGGAAAAAGATTCGAACAGGAGAGTCACGAACGCGCATCGCAGAACAGAGCAAGAGCATTTGAGCTTATAAAACTTAAACTGTTATCACCATAACGCGTACATGTGATCATGTGATCGTGCTCTGCCAATAGTGAACCAGCGTTATGCCATAAAACTTTGTGAACAGCCCAACAAAGTGAATAGCGTCAGAGAATGGCAGGGAAGAGATGAGAGTGTTGATTTGGGGTGGGTTTGCGCCCCAAAACGTATTCTCGTCACTTGCTAAACTTAAGGTTGACTCGGACAATTTTAACGATGTCTTTACTAACTTTCTGGGCTGGCAAATGAAATTTCCTAGTTGCCTATGAAGGATTGTGACCGCTCTCAGATAATTTGTGTTCTGAAAATGAACGAAAGTCTTGGGGTTGGAACAACATGAGGGTGAGTAAATACTGACAAAATCTTCATTTATGGGTGTACTATCCCTTTAAACGTTAAAAATGTCACTTGTTAAATGTTAAATGTCTTTCCACTAATATATGTTTGGAAACAGTTGTTTTAATTGTTCTCTGTATGTCTCTAAGCAGTCAGCCACAGCAGAGCCGGGACAGCAGGACAGAAGACTTGGACATGAAAACGCAGTCCTTACAAACAGGTTTGCTAATGCATTCACCGTCAGGTTTTTCGCAATTACATGCATGTACTTCAAATTTTGAGCCTGTTTTTATGTTGCACAGCACTTGAAGCAACTCAGGCAGAACTCCACGAACTGAAGACTAAATACGATGAAGAATCCACAGCAAAGTGAGTAACCGTTTTTTAATTCTGACGGGACGCAGCAGGAGACAGTGTGGATTAGCGCCGCAATGGCTCGTATTCCCCCTTCTGTGTTTCCTCGACTGTCTGCTAGGCGTGCTACGTCTTTGTCTCACCTTTGCACACACACATTTGCATGTCCATGCAGACACAGACAAACACACACACCCCTTTGATCCACACCAAAACAGCTTATAATCCTACTGCAGACAGGTTTGATTATGGGGGAAAACACAGTGTGGTGAAATCACACCTTCATTCACGGACGAGTTTTGATATTCAATAGTCCTCATATCCCGCCCATGCTGTCTTCATGGCTACACGAGACTGAATAATGGATGACACAATCCTCATAACTCGCACGGATGCTCTGAGTATCCAATAATGACGGGATTCGTACCGTCGACTGACATTTTGTAGGCGGTGAATCAGTGTGTGCATACTTGCTCAAATGCGCCTTTTGTTTGCACATTGCGTCTGTTCGCCTTGATCTGGGTCATGCGTGTGTGTGTGTCTGCGTGTGTGCGTTTCTCCGCTTGCTCTCCCTGTCATGTGGTCGGGGTTAGGTGGCAATTTCCTTGTCTCGCTGTCACTGAGGAATGCATCCTGTTGCAGAGTGCGCTCGCTGCGGGCTGTTTCGGCGCTGCTCGATGCGCTGGGAGTGGTGTAATTACACTACCTGTGATCAAACCAAACCCTGCCATGCCAGACCCCCAGCACTGCACCTCTGAAGTAAAAGAAGAGACTTTTTTTTTTTTTTTTAGTTTAGAAACCGGAAGGCCACGGCGAGGTTCATTCGAGGAAAAGATATGCTTCTGATTTCACAAGCATTTCAAGATAAATCTCACTCTCATGCTTGCGCACAAACTTTTGAATATGACTGTGTACGTGCAAACAAGAAAACGCATTGTGACGCTCAGGAACATTGGCCTGTTTCCAATCCGCCGGGTCCTCTTTCAGAGACTGTGGCTGGTTAAACGTTTCCACTCCATTAGATTTCTTACCTGATGCTCCGGCTTTCGTTTATTAGCTTTCTTTTGGTTTATGAACTAAGATTATTCACAATATATTGGGGATTGATTTTGCTCTTGATATAAAATTAAACTACACATTGTTGAAATCACAATTTAATTGTGAATGCGAGCGTAAATATAATATTTCCATGATGTGACGGTATATCAGAAGACATTTAAATATTCAATGTCCTATTTTGTTGAGCCAGATTTTGAACCCAATGCTACGTGGTTTGTTTTATTAATTTCTGATCCATAATTATTTATTTTTATTGCATTTAAATGTTGTTTTATGTAGGTTTTGTTCAATTATTGAACTTTTTTGGTGGCATTTTATATATAATAAATCGTTAAATATTGCTTGTATATGCTTTGTTGGTCGAAATCTTTGAATACATCTTTCGTTTAATAAACAAAACATCTTTATTATTAGTAATAATTAGGGTTTTGCAAAGATTAATTGCAATTAATCGCATCCAAAATAAAATATATTTTTGCATTTATAAATACATTTGCACGCATGTATATATTTAAGAAATATTTGCACATAAATACTGTGTATGAAGAGTTCAGATGCAAAAGCCTCTAAATGCCATTTGAAATTTTCTTCTTTAATGATGATTTTTTTTATCAAACTTGTATATTTAAGTTCAGTAATTTCACTTAAATGGCAATGATAATAACCTATTAATTTTTATTTAAGTGAAATTACTGAACTTAAATATACAAATTTGATAAAAATCATTAAAGAAGAAAATTTCAAATGGCATTTAGAGGCTTTTGCATCTGAACTCTTCGTATATAAATACATAATCTAAATTATATATATTACATATAATTATTTTATATATGAATAACACATTTTCTTAAATATACATGCATGTGTGTGTATTTTTACATACAAAATAAATATACACAGCACACACACATATTATGTAAACACAAACTTTTATTTTGGATGTGATTAACCGCAATAAATCCTTGCACCGCCCTAATAATAATACTGTATTTATGTGGCTTTCAGAGAAAGTACAAAGATATAAATCTACATTTCATCAAAGGACTAAACATTTTCAGTATTTTGCTACTAGTAAGTGGCAGTGGTTTTGGTCTATGTACAGTACATATGCTGTATATATATATATATAGATTTGTGCTTTATACATCCAATTTGACCTAAGCCTGGATCGTCCGTAATCCAAGGCTTCATCGTTATCTTGTTGTTGTGATTGTTGACTTAATGAGGTTACGTGATTCTGTGCATGTGTCTATGGAAGGGGATAAAGGAATCCCGCCCCCATCTAAGAGCCCTTTCCTGGCCTCAGGGTTTTACATGCTCCGTTAGCTCAGTTCATCTACAGTGACAGTAGGTGGATCTCAACGGGAAGGGTGCAGAGACGTTTGTGTGTATCGTATCGCGCAGTTAAATAAACATAAGAATGTGTCATGCTCCACAGTGCTCCAGTAATAAGCGAAAGAGAAAGGAAATCCCTCGGCGGGCAGTTGCTCTGCCTTTGATGCGGGCCGTTAGCTCTGGGTGTTCAGCAGGTATGGACAGATAATCCATAACGTTGATCGATCATCCCCCATATGAGGCCTTGCGGTCGTGTTATTGAAAGACTGCGTAATGTTGAATCAAATATGGAATAACGATTCAATGTATGCTGTGGTAAAAAACTTTTTCAGCCTCTGTTTAAGGCCATGTGGGTCGAGAAAACTGTAATATTAATCATTGAAATCTCAACCTGACATGTTTTTCGTTGGATAGAAGAGTTAATCCAGTTTTCACCATTTCTTTTAACAGTCATTCCAGTAACATCGTTCCTATTTTTGTCTCTCATATTCCTTCCTGTCGTCTCACCCTCCCCTTCCTCTTTTTCTTTTTTAGTTCATTCTGAAGGAAGGATGGTATCAGCTGTAAAGAGAGTGTGTATTTGGCGGTGTGTGTGTGTGTGTGTGTGTCTTGGGTTCAGGGTGAAAAGAAGAGCAGGGTTCAGTCGAGCGTAATAATGGAATGCTTCAATTCGCTTCACTGTTTGTATGCGACCTCTCTCTCCCTTTTTCTCTCTCTCTCTTCCCCTCCCCCAACGCCCTCCCCCACTATCCCTCCCCTCCCAGACGTGTTCACGGTGGAATGTCCGCCTTTCTCACAGGCCCGCGAGGTGTCTGTCGTCCCAGCCATCTATCTTGTTCGCTCTCTCGCTCTCTCTTAGGGCTCTGTGTTGCGCTGAAATTTTAATCCGGTCCTTTTTCTTTTCCAGCCCAGACTCTCCTCTCATCCCTCCTCAGGACCTCCTCATTAACGTCCTGCCAGTTACAGTAACTACAGCTGGCACTGACACGGGCATCAGCCCGCGCAAACTCACGCCAGTGCTGAGATGGAAAAATGATATCTTGTTCATATTTTAACGTATACAATTTTCACTTATTGTGTTCACAATTTAATATTTTCGTATTTAAAATGTTATTTGTAATTTAGTTGTCGTGTTTAAAGGTGTAGTTCGCTTTTAAAAAAACTTTTGCTGATAATTTACTCACGCCTGTGTCATCCAAGATGTCCATGTCTTTCTTTCTTCTGTCGAAAAGAAATGAAGGTTTTTGATGAAAACATTCCAGGATTTTTCTCCATATAATGGACTTCAATGGGAACCAAACGGTTCAAGGTCCAAAAGACAGTTTCAGTGCAAACTGCAAACTGTTCAAAGGGCTTTAAATGATTTCAGACGATGAATAAGGGTCTTATCAAGCGAAACGATCGCTCATTTAATAAAAAAATAACTAAGTTTTTGCTCTGTTCTGTGATGCGCGTCAGCTCATGAAACTCTCATGAAAGAGAGTCAACTCTTTCATTTCGTTCGTTGAATGAACCAAATGACACGAAAAAAGATTCGTTCTTTTTGATAAATGAGTTCAAACAGGAGAGTCACGAAACTTTGTTATTTTTTTTTATTAAACGAGCGATCGTTTCGCTTGATAAGAGTAAGACCCTTATTCATCGTCTGGAATCATTTAAAGCCTTTTGAACAGTTTGCAGTGAAACTGTCTTTTGGACCTTCCCATTGAAGTCCATTATATGGAGAAAAATCCTGGAACGTTTTCTTCAAAAACCTTAATTTCTTTTCGACTGAAGAAAGAATGACATGGATGACATGGGGGTGAGTAAATTATCAGCAAAAGTTTTTTTTTTAAAAGTGAACTACTCCTTTAACTTTATGTCCTCGAACTATTAGGATTTAATATTTAATTCAAAAATCATATTTTTTTACTAAATTTTTCCGTTTTTCATTTAAACTAACATTTTTAAACTTAACGTTGTTTTATTTAAAGGGACAACGTGTAGGAATTTCTCCCATCCAGCGATGAAATTGTGAATTGTGCTCTCCAGCGCCTCGCTTTTTCAAATGCGCGTTGCATCTACGGTAGCCGTTATGTACCAAAAAGCTTCTGAAAGCACTTCGGATGTACCTCAACATTTTGATATCTAACGTTTGTGTTTATTTTCACCTACTGAGTGCCTGGACTTGGATTTTTTTCCAAATTCTATGAACATTTAACCCTTCCAAGAGCACCAGAGGATACAAGGGACACCAGCAGTTTCCTTTTGTTTCTGTATATTTTCATATTTAGCCATGTACCATACGCGTAGTTAACACTTTCACACGTTACCCTATGTTTTTGCAGTAAACAAAGTGAAAAATACGTAATGTTTATTACCTCGGGCAGTTTTAGCATTTGCAAGGCTTGAGTTTGTCGTGCTGTGTGGCCTGTTGTGCTTGTTCCCAGCGTGGTTAAACTCTCTCTGGTTTTCCCTGACTGAATTGGAAAGAAACAACATGCAATTAAAGTTGTTTCTCCTGCGCTGAAAGTGGCAGGTTGGGTTTTGCAGTGTGTCCTTTACGAGACAAATGGGCAGTAGATTTTAGCTCACAGAAATAGCAGCCGTGTGTGAGGCCCGTGGAATCGTGTGCGTGTTTG